TTGTTTCTGTTTCCTCTTTCCCCAGCTTTCGGCGGACAAACGATATTTATTTTGGCCGTTTTTGCCCCAAAATCGCTAGCATTTTGTACATCTTGTCTAGGTTTGTAACGGTTTTTGAAACCTTCTCTTTACTCTTGAACTGTTTTAAGTTTCAAAGTTTGAAGCTACCTTCAATTTCCAGGCCTCGGGTGTCGATATATCTATTGACGAGGGTGCCATGCATCATGGATTACCGCTGTTATCGCGTGTCGCAGTGGACTTCGACCTTGCATGCAAAATTTTGTTGGCTGGAGTGGAGATACCTCAGCACAGGTAGGAAATGACGTTTTCAATGCACACTTTAGCAGGGTGAAATATTTATGACTGCCCAAATCGACTGACTTTAAGGTTTACGAAACCTCTCCGATCTCAAAATCAGGAAATATCAATGAATGGGTGTTGTTCATGAAATTAATGATAGCGTTTATTATTAGCAGGCAGAAATACAAGAAGTGATTTCACCCAAAAATCTCAGTGATTTCACCCAAAAATCTCAACGAACACTAACACATTCGAAGCGGAATGCACTCTTGGCAGTACATGCAAAACTCTTGTGGCCATTCGTGTACTTCCGTGAATCCACACTCCTTTTCGCCTGTTTTCTAGCGATTTTGCTTCCTGTCATAATCATCCCTATCAGCTTCCTCACCTGATCCGCATCTTCTCCTTCCGATTCCAGAAAATACAAAGAAAGATAAAAAATACAAAAACCCAACTTAGTTAAGTAAAATTGTAGGAAAACTTCTCCAAGGAGAAAATGTAAACGGAACGTCAAAAAAAAAACGACTCATGAGAGGTTTTGGCAGAAACTAAGCGGGATTTGGCATTCGTCAACCGCCGCAAACGTGCCGAGCGACGATCGGGAATTTTTTTTTGTGAAATGTCGCCGCCGCGACTGTTTTAAAAACTTAAAAACAAACTGTACGTTCACCTCCGAAAGCAGTCCTTGGCATGCGCGAGTTGAATGCGTCCGCAGCTGCAGCGGGCGATCCACTTTTCCGCTTGAAAATGCACAGGGCTGAAGAGTAGTGATACGCTATAGTCATGAATTGCGCCCGCGCTTCCTCATGGCGCAGTGCTTGCTCGATGCCAAAATACCGCAGCGGATGCCACAGTCAGAGGAGGG